ATTGGGAAATGAATTTCTAATTCTTAACTATTGAAGTAGGACTTTTAATTCCCTCCGTTTGAAGTAGGGCCTCTAAATCCTATATTGAATTCCTAGTAACTGATATAGGAATTAAGTTTCATCTCCAATTGATTTAATATAGGAGTGAAATTGATTCAAACATGAAAGTGATCATGCTATTGTGCAATTGTACGTATCAAGGATATTTTATTCATTTAAGTAAAGGAATAGGATGATAACTGACTACGAATTTAACAAAATAGGCTGTCATAGCTTTGAGATGATCTATAGCTATATTCCTGGAGGTCATAATTCTTTAACTGTTGTGGAACCCAACCGAAGAGGTTGAAGTGGGAAGTGGCCGCTTCAATGCTATATGAGATTAGAGCTTGGAAAGATCTTTCAAGGGTCTAAAGAAATAAATAACCATGGCCCGTATTCCTCTTTTCTTTTCTGGATGGTATTGAAAGAGAGGAATCATACGGTTTTTGAGGGGCTGCAACATGTTTAGTAGGTCCTGTGATTCTAAGTCGTAAATGGTAAACATTTGTTTTAGAGGTGACACTCTTACTTTTGATGGATAGCTTGTTGATGTGTTAGATTTTATTATTTGTAATATTTACTCTTTGTTATTCGGTTGCGTTCCCTTGGTGCCTTGCCAATAATAATTTTATTTTTATAACAGACGGCTGAAAATAATCTTCTAACTGTAACGTTTTTACATTTCCTGTTAGGATTAGATGTGTTTTTCCTAATTTCTACATTCTATCTTCATACAGAGCATCCATGGCTCCAAAATGCTAAAAAGGCCCCAAATGTCCCACTAGGAGATGTTGTGAAGTCAAGGCTAAAGCAATTTTCAATGATGAACAGATTCAAGAGAAAAGCCTTGAGGGTTGGTGTTGACTGTGGAGAGTTTTCTTCTCTAAATTTTACAATTATGATATGTCAGAAGTATCTTATACTGTGTTTCCGGTAGGTTATTGCCGAATTCTTATCCAGTGAAGAAGTAGAAGACATTAAAGAAATGTTCAAGAAGATGGATGTTGATAATGATGGTATTGTTTCCATTGAAGAGTTGAAAGCTGGACTTCGAAATTTTGGTTCCCAGCTTGCAGAATCAGAAGTTCAGATGCTTATTGAAGCTGTGAGTAATGCTTTTGCTTCAAATTTTTGGTTTTATAAGCAGCAGTTCTACCTTGACATCAGCAAAATGCATTTTATATTTTGAGACTCCAGAATGTTTTCCACTGGTTATAATATCTTCTTGTCATGTTAATCAAGGTATATGATCTCTGCAAATCCGTAAAGACTGTAGATATGCCAAATGATATAATAAACATCACATGGACAACTATTTATTAAAGTAGTGCCATAGCTCATAAAAATGCTCTTGCATGTGGATTATATGGATCATTGACAGAGTATCTTGACTAAAGCTATTTGGGCATTCTTTATACTGAATAACTGCACGGATTCCTCAAAATGTTTTATGGAATTAATCTTACATTAGTAATTATTTGTACATCCATGGTCTCCTTGAAGACGTCCGATAAAATTTGGAAAGATACAGAAAAAATTGGCACGGTCTCTTTTCAACATGCACAAATCGACAAATACATTCATGAACTGTTCTTGGTAATGCTAACTAGATTTATTTTTTATGCATCCCTAAAGGAATGCGAAATATTTGGATTTCTCGAGGTGGCTTAGAGAGTAAAGATTAATTCTGTTTTCAAGTACAAAATTGTTTTCATTGTTACTACAAAAATATGTATATAATATGATAGTATTGCAACATATATATATATTCATAATCATCAGGTCTTGAATTACTTGATTCAAGAACTAAGAAGTGAAGCCCAATAATACTACCTTCTTAGAAGTTGTATTGCACTTCAAACTTTTACCTTCTTCCATGTCTAATCTTCTCATGATTGTGAGGTGCTTCCCTCAGGAGTTTTGGAGAGAGAATTAGGTTAGGAGAACAAGTTTCTTGAGTATGGCAGGAACTGTTCTTCAAATAGACTCTATATCTCACTTGAACTCTGTAGTTCTTTTTTTGACCAAACATGAATTCTGTATTTTATCTACGGATGTTCAGAATCCTTGTTATTTTGCTAGATTCTTATCCCTCAGTAACTGACAATTCGATCAAGATCCACCACTCATATAAGCAGACTGCAGGTTTTGGTCCATAGTCTGGCCTGAACATTTATGTGTTTGATAGAAGAGAGACTAAAATTGTGATTTTCAGAGGGTTTTGGTTGTTGATGGCCTAATGCTTTCTGGCAGTAAGTTGTTGGTGAATGCATCACATATATGAAGAGCACCTGAAATGCTTGATGAGTTTAGTTTCTGCAAGCTACTGTTGTATGGCAGCTTATTCTTTAGGTTGTCAATGATATTTCTATCAGTGGTGAGGCAGGTCTGCCACCTCTTTACTTTGTTTCTTATATATACTGATTATTCAACATGTGGTTATGGAAGCTGTTATTAGCTGATAAGAAAATCCTGTTAGATCGGTGGACTCCAAGCTTTTAGATGTCTGGAATTTTAAATTTTTTTAATGTAAAAGTGAAGACATGTGGGACATGCAAGGATATGATGGTTTGTTCCATTATAGATAATACATATTCTCATAGGTAAGACTTAACAATTAACAGATGGAGAAGATTGCACAAAATTCATTACTTCATGCAATTGTTGTTGTTGATGTTTTGTATACTTGTCCTGTTGTGCATGCGGCAGAAGCACATTCTAACAGGATACCATAACATTTGATGGGGAGTCATATCTTGGTTTAATTGAATTATCTTGTGTGGACATGCTTTTATGGGTTTTCTGGAAAATGGATTTTTATGTGTTGTCAACAGGTGGACGCTGGTGGTAAAGGAACATTGGACTATGGGGAATTTGTTGCTGTTTCTCTCCACCTTCAAAGAATGGCAAATGACGAGCATCTTCACAAGGCTTTCTCCTATTTTGACAAGGACGGCAATGGTTACATTGAGCCAGATGAGCTGAGGGATGCTTTAATGGAAGATGGAGCAGATGATTGTACTAATGTAGCAAATGACATATTCCAAGAAGTAGACACAGATAAGGTGAAGATCTCAATGTTGTAATTGAATACAGTTCAGATTCAGCAGGTTTAAATCTGATATACTTGTTTAATCAAAACAGGATGGGCGAATCAGCTATGATGAATTCGCAGCAATGATGAAAACTGGAACAGATTGGAGAAAGGCATCCCGCCATTACTCCAGAGGGAGATTCAACAGTCTGAGCATGAAGTTGATGAAGGACGGTTCTCTGAACTTGGGGAGTGAACAGAACATATAAAGGTGTGTTTTCAACTCATCTATGGAAGAAAAGAAAGTTACAGACGACTCCCTGTACATCTTCAACGTTCTTCCTCTTGTGATTATTTGTTAGACTGTCCATGATTTAATGGGTTATCTTCTTTCGACAAGGATCATGCTGGCCG